ACAAGATATTCCCATGAAAAGTACATTTGCCTTTTTTTATTGCAGTAATTTTTTGGTTTTAAAAAGTATGCAAATAATCATTTTTTCACGTGTGTGCTAGTGAAAAAGACTCAACTTCTTTAAATGCCTAATTTTCATTTTCTATTTTTTTGTATAAAAAAGATACTGCTGAAAGGAATTTGTCCTCTGACACCTAAATGTATTGAGGTCAGTCTCTTATTTATCGAGTAAAAAAAATGAGAAAAAAATACAGGTAACTGTTACGCATGTTCATTTTTTAGTCAAATTTGAAGTGTTTTACACAATGACTGGCAAATCCTTTGAAATTGTATGAAAAAATTATTATTTTCGTGTATCATTAGACATCCCCAGTAAAGGCTCATTCTTAAGGAAAATATTGTGCGTTTGGTTTTTTCATGGGATATTTGTTTCTCCTTTTACAAGAAAAATAAAATTCTTCCAGCATATATAATGATTTCCACTGTTTTGTTTTTGTCTTTTTCTCAATATAAATGGGGCCCACAGTAGTGCAATGGGTCAGCAGGAAAAAGATTTGCTTTTCGTGTAAAATGAAAAACAAATACTCCTTTCTCAATGGTAGAAACATGTATGTAAGTTAAGGCGTCAATGTTTTCTTTCAAAAAGAAAATCATAATTTTTTTTATTCTATTTATTTTTCAATCAATTTTACATGTCAAATAAAAGAATGAAATAAAAATTTCATTCCAAGGATGATTGACATAGGCAAAAAAATATGTATTACCAAAGAAAATATATCTATAAAAAAAAATATATCAATATGAGGCCGCTTATACATTTGGCATACAGTGTGAAGGATTGGCGGCACCCTTTGAAAAAAATAGGATAAATGTCACATGGTAACATTTGATAAATAGGTAGTGTCTTATATGATGCGAACTAGGCTAGCACCTTTTACAAGTGCTACCGCGTCAAAAGTATGCAATCACATAAAATGAGTTTAGACAACACTAAGGGGCGGATATTATGGGTGTTAAATTTTAACAAATTATACTTATTATATATAATTATATAATTAATTATAATTTGGTCTGGGATACAATTTATAATTTGGTTCTATCTAAAATTTAAAATATTTTTGGTAAGAAATTTGAGTTAGTTGTATTAGATTATGTATTCGATTTCCACTTATATAAAAAAAAAATATTTTTAGTAAAATTAAAAAATATTTAATAAAATTATATTTCTTCTTGATATTGTCTGCTCAGGTGCTCTGTATTTAATAAAATTTAAATATATTATTATATGAACTAATTAAAATTAAAAAAAATAAATACATATATAATTTTTTGGTCCGAGCTCAAATTGGAGCCCGGCTCCGCCACCGGCAACACTTGTGAAATAATTTATGTAAGACTTCTCACCATAAATACACAAATTTAAGCAAATAACAACTTTATTGAGCAACACATCCTCAATGTGAGACTTACTCGTAACCTTTCATAATTCCATCTAAATGTTTGTTAAACAAATTAAGGAGAGTCATTGTCTCCAGCCACAGAGAAAAAAAAAAACATGTGGACTCACATTTAAAAAAAAAACATGAAAATCGAAAGATCAATAGAAGAAATTTTTTTTCTCCTACATGAGAATCACTTAACCTATAAATTAAGGGATTTGATTTTCTCATGTTGCATAAGAATTCAATTCTCATGTTGTGACTCAACTAGTGGTGGATCCCATATTTATTAAAAAAAGAAAAAGAAAAGAAAAGTTTTGCACGCAAATCGAAGGGTCACTAACATGAGAGTTGAATCCTCATGCAACATGAGAAAAAGTTTTCTCATAGATTAAATGGAGAAAGTAGTTTTCATGAAAAAAAATTAACTTGAATTTTTTAACTATCGATCTTACAAGTGGAAACTGGAGGTGTTCATCAATCAATTCAAATTGCGGTAACCGAATTGACAAACCGATAACCAAATTAACCAAAAAATCAAAAATAAAAAAATAACATATTTTAATTGAATTGAATTAATTTTCAGTTTGGTATTGACATCCAAAAAAAAAAAATCGCATATAGACCTCCGTATTCAGGTTTCTGTGTAGGAAACACATTATTGACATCCAATTGCTCCGGACACCAACCTTTACCTGCTACAAAAGCAAGGAAAACACATTGTGGCGAGCTTAGCATTGGGGGCGAATATATCTAAGAAATCAACACCTTCCATGTTGTTGAAGGATTGTGTTGCACCACTCTCATCTTTGCTGCCGCAATAGATGGTGGTTGAACAATTGGTTGGGCTGAGTTTCTATAGTTTCGTGCATCATTCTAGGCTAAAGGAGCTTTGCTTCTATTGGTTTTCCAGGTATCTACCATGATTTGGAGTGGGAATTAAAATTTATAGATTCACAGACGACGTCAATTAGTCTAAGGTGTAAGGTGATAAAACTAGATGTACAACAAATGAGGTGGTTAAACGTTGTCCTACGTACATAACAACTTGAGGATCCCGGTTCGAAGAATCAATATATTTGCAAGAGATAAGTATTTGTATTAGCAGTATTTTTTTTCCGTGAGAGAGGGTGATTGATTTTGGTGCTTAAGAGTTCAACCTTTTGTATATGCATATGAGATGTCTTTTATAATTGGGGTAGAGTATGATGAATGTGATGAGTCCCGGCAAACAGAGCCATATCGAGACTAGTGATGCCATATAGTGGTTGGTGATGGGGTCAGAATCTATGTAGTACCGATACCGATACCGATACGAGACACGTGACACGATACGACACGACACGACAATCCGACACGTTAATTAGTAAAAATATTAGATTTCGACACGTTAGGATACGTTTTGATATTAAATAATATTTTTAATTTATGTAGTGTATATTATATTTAATATTCAATAATTTAACAAAAAAATGTGTTAAATAATAACAAGAGAAAAAAGATGAACATTTGAAATATTTATGTGTGTATTAACTGATGAAGGTTGTACAATATATAAACAGACTAATGGGCTAAGCCCAAACCTAATGTAATCTGACCTAATACAAAATAAGGAAACACTAATTACAAAATAAGGAAATCCTAATTACAATATATTTCTCACACTCCCCCTCAAGCTGGAGCGTATAAGTCATATGCACCAAGCTTGTTACATATAAACTCTATTCAAGGGTCCCTCAAAGATTTTGTAAACACATCTGTTAATTGTTCATTAGAGGGTACAAAGCTAGTTTTAATTTCACCAGCAAGAACCTTTTCTCGAACAAAGTGACAATCTATTTCTATATGCTTGGTTCTTTCATGAAACACTAGATTTGTAAAGAACCTTGGGATACACCACCCCAAAAGCTAGCTCAAAGGGTGGGAGTACCCACAGCCTTATAAAGGCCACATTAGTTGCATATACAACCAATGTGGGACTATATATCTCAACACGCCCCCTCACACGAGAGCCCATTAGGCTTGAAGAGTGGACAATGCAACAGGCCCAGCCTACCTGTGCTAAGAAACGCCACAAGAGAAAGTGGGAGGCGGCGAGGCTCTGATACCATGGTAAATAACAAGAGAAAAGAGAGGAACATTTGAAATATTTCTGTGTGTATTGACTGATGAAGGCTGTACAATATATAAACAGACTAATGGGCTAAGCCCAAACCTAATGTAATCTGACCTAATACAAAATAAGGAAACCCTAATTATAAAATAAGAAAACCCTAATTACAATATATTTCTAACAAAATGAATCTAAACTTATAATATTCATAAATTTTGCAAAGAAACATAAGATATCTCAAATATTTATATTAAACTCAATAAAATAGTAATCGTAATCCAACGAATCTAATAGTTGAAACTAAAAACTCAACGCAACGCAACCTTTAATCCTTTTCTTGAATTTCTATCCCGTGTTGAAGTGTCGGGGAGTGTCGAAGTGTCCAAGAGTGTCGAAAAGTGTCGGACACGACATGTCAGAATTTTTGAAGTGTCGGTGCTTCATATGTCAGAATTTTAGGGAATTGGACGTTGAGTATTTAATTAATATAAAATCGGATTTAATATTCCTTTTTTTATTACAGAAAATATTTATTTCTCACACTCATATAAAAAATAATGGATCCCACAAATTTTTCCTCTCTTCTCTTCACAATAGAACCCACTCATTTTTATGTGAATATGACAAAAAAATATTTTATGAGAACCCAACACTTACCTGTTTGTGGTGATATAAATTCCTTCCAACAACTCAAGAATTAAGAATTATCACAACAGCAGCAAAAACAGAAATATTTTTTCCTAAGAGTTGGATTATTATTTCGTCTTAGGTTAGCTAATGAAGTATAAGGATGAACAATTTTTTTTCATTCCGACTCAAACTAGAAACCTCTAACATAAGCTCCTTAGTCCTTATCACACTTGAAGGTAAACAGAATTCGGACGCAATTTGTTATCTTAACAGTACCCCAGGACTTGTCTAAAATAAAATCCACATTCCCCTCTGTTAGTCAACAAGACGCCAAACCACCTGCCCCTCTGTTAGTCAACAACATGCCAAACCTGACCAATAGCTCCCGTTCGCTAAGGAGGCATTGGATAGAGAAGAAAAAAATTTTAACCATGAAAATATAATTATTGGAAAAGTAAATTTGCTCGTAAAGTTAAAAAAAGTTATTTGGTAGGACGAAATATTACCGAAAAAATTAATTAAGTTTTTTAAGTTTATGTTTGCTCGAAGATAAAATATTGATTAAAATCAATAGATTAAAATTACAAAAATAACCCATTTAATTTTTGAATCTCAAATAAAAAAAAGAGACCTATGATAAAAGTACATTTCAGGGTCATTTACGTTTTCATTTTGCACTCTTTTTCTCTGTTTCCCAACAAATCTCAAAATATCACATCACAAGTGATTTTCTGGAATAATAAATTTCTTCAATTTTGCAAAGAAACCAAAATGATCTGGTTATATTTTTTTGATTTTTGTACCAAACATGATCAAGACAGAACATCGGTGAAAGTTGCCTGTACATCTCCAACAAAAACTTCTGCCAAACGCCCCTAAAGACATTTCATTGTCTATAAATAGCGGGAAGGAATATAGAACAACCACAACATAAAAAAACATTATGGGTACTGAAAATAGTGTAGTTCGGAAGCATTATGTTCTGGTGCACGGGGCTTGCCATGGAGCTTGGAGTTGGTACAAGGTGAAGCCACGCCTTGAATCTGCTGGTCACCAAGTCACGGTACTTGACCTTGCGGCTTCTGGTACCAACATGAAGAAAATTGAAGATGTTGATACTTTTTCACAGTACTCTGAGCCTTTGTTGCAGCTATTGGCGACAATCCCCCCAAATGAAAAGGTAGTTCTTGTGGGGCACAGCCTTGGAGGGCCTAACATAGCCCTTGCCATGGACATATTCCCACAAAAGGTAGCAGTTGGTGTCTTCTTAGCTGCTTTTGTGCCAGACCTTGAACACAAACCCTCCTATGTCATTGAAAAGGTATGCATCTGAGACTTCAGGATGCTTTGTAAAAAATTTCATCAATTTTCTCACCCTACCCAAGTGTAATTAATGTGATATACATGATCTAGAAATTTACAGCCAGAATTTTCATTTTTATTTTATTTTTTAAGTATCCCATCGTTTTGGATGATACTAATTCCCTCCCTGCATAAAACATAGATTTTTATCACTGCCCAAATTTCTTCACCTCAACATCAGACCGAAACCAAACAACTTGGGTCTAATTGGAAAAAGGAGATATCTCGATTGCTTTCAAATTGCTAAACAACAATACAAATTAAAGATATATAGGTGGAAAGATGGACCAATATCTTAATAACTTCTTTTTAGGAAAAATATTTTGGATATTACGTATATATTTTTTTACTAAATATGAAATAAACTAATATAGTTATATTCCCTTAACACTGAAGTTGTGCTCATTTTCAGGCAAATCTGTCAAAAAATTTAAACTGACAACCCAACTTTTTCTAATTTATAATCATATTATTTTTAAACAGTTCCATCTCAAGAATTAGATATATTTGAATCACATTAACGCACGGCCATCAGTTGGTAACGTTTTTTTTTTTCCTAGATAATAATTATGAGAAACCCTTCTGGTATTAATCATAACTTGTTCCTTTCATTCGAATTACACACTAATGCACATACATTAAACTCGAAGAGGGAGAGAAATGAAGGTAGTAAAAGACTTTACCAATTAATCTAAGGGAAAATGCCTTTGAGGCAGAAAACATTTCTTTGCAACTGAAAGAAAAAAAGGAGTGGAGTTCATTATTTTATGATTTCTCTCTCTCTCTCTTTCTCTCTATCATTTTCTCTTAGTGGAGAGAAATATTTTCTATCTCAAAGACAAAAATTATTTCCCCTTAATCAAATTAAGGTAAAGTTTGTTGTGTATCTGAGCCCGACAATAGCTAGGCCTCAGATTCAATTAACCTGGCCTTCACAAGTCGACTTGTGAAAGAGTTGGTGAACATTAATAGCAAATCAAAATAAAAAACTAGGATAAAGAGGAAGAGAACACCAAGAATTTTAACGTGAAAAACCTCTTTAATGTGAAGAGTGAAAACCACAGGATCAAGTTTAGAAAAATCGTTCACTATGAATAATAGGATTACACAAGATTCTCTCTGGCTCAATAACCAGAGAACTTCACCCTCTAAAGGATGAATTTACTTACAAGTGTCTCACACAAGTGTTTCTCTCTGTAAAGAGGATAGAGAATCCTACTCTACATGGTATTATTCTTCTTCTTCAGCGATGGCGCTGGGTTTTTTCCTCAGAGAATCTTCGTCTCTGACTTGCGTTTTTCTTATTCGGATGATCTATCGCATTCGGCTTAACATTGCCTGTCCTTTGATCCTTCTTCAAAGTCCAGTATTTCGACTTCTGGTAACCTAATTTTCCACAATAGAAGAATATGAGAGTATGTGGCCTCAGCTTTGACCGACCTCTTGACTTGTCACGACCACAGCTTCTACTTAGATCTCGGTGTGCCTTTCTTCCACGATTTTCAACAACATTTGCTTCATACTGTTGTCTTATACCTCGTTCTTTCCTCCTAGCCTCTTTACTCAACAGGTTGTCTACAACCGAGTCCAGTGTCATCTTTTCTTCTGGGGCTGAGTTGCTAAGCGTTACCATCAAAGTATCCCAGCTCTCAAGTAATGAGCTAAGTAGCAAGAGGGCTCGCAACTCGTCATCTATTTTCATGTCAATCTTTGTCAGCTGATTGATTATCCCCTTGTATGTATTCAGGAGCTCAATTATGCTTTGTCCATTCTTATAGTCTAGCTTCACAAGTCGGCGCACCAAGTATGATTTGTTGCGTGGTGTCTTCTTCTAGATTAAAGACTCTAGCTTCATCCACAGCTCGTGAGCATTTGTGTATGTCGACACATGCTCGAACAAGCTCTTGTCGAGATATTTGCGGATCATAGCGACCGCCTTTTGATTGTGGAGATCTGACTCTTTATCACTCTTCCCTTCTGGCTTGACCGTGCTCAAAATAGGCTCATATAAATCATTGCAATAAAGATGATCCTCCATCATGGGTTTCCAATATGAGTAGTTCTCCGCGGTGAGTTTGAACATGTCGTCATCATGTGCTACAACACCTCCATCTCTAACCTCATAGAGCCTTTGATCTAAGAGATCTGATACCACTGTTGTGATTCCGAGCCCGACAATTCTTAGCTCGACCCAAATTAAATGGGTTCCCTAATCTTTTATTTATAAGAAATGCTTAGATGCTGAGTCGTCAAAGAGAGAGCAAAAAAGAAGAAGAAAAGAAAGAGAGATAGAAACGCATTGGAGAAAAGAGCAAGTCAGAGACGAAGATTCTGTAAGGAAGAAACCCAGCGCCACCGCTGAAGAAGAAGAATACCATGTAGAGTAGGATTTCTTATCCCTTTTATAGAGAGAAACACTTTTTGAGGCACTTGTGAGTAGATCCATCATCTAAAGGGTGAAGTCTTCTAGTTATTGAGGTAGAGAGAATCTTTTGTAAATCCCATTATTCATATTGGATGATTATCTAGACTTGATCCTGTGATTTTTACTCTTCAAATCGAAGAGGTTTTTCACGTTAAGATTCTTGGTGTTATCTTCCTATTTATCTATATTTTATTTTTGATTTGCTATTACTGTTTATCAACGCTTCCGCAAGCCCATCTATGAAGGCCGAACTAATTGAATCTGAGGCCGAGTTAAGAATTGTCGGGCTTCGAATCACAACAAAGTTGAATTATGAAAACTTTTATGAGCTGATAAGTCACCGAAGTAATAGTATTCATTCACACAGAGTAAGTTTTTTTTTTATGAGTTTATTATTTCTTATGTTGTAGGTGATAAATTTATCTCTTATACATATATAAAAGTGTGTGAGGAGAAGAGACAAAAAGAAAAAATATGAGCCTCATACTTTTTTTTATATAGAAAATAAATTTATCTCTTATAATATAATATGAGAAATAATAAACTCTTCACCACATTTATATCTTATGCTTGCTTTGGGGGAAAGGGGTGAGAGAAAATTATATTCATCTTGACCGGCGTAAATGTTTTTTTAACTTCAACAGTACATTGAGAGTACCCCAGCAACTGAATGGTTGGACACTGAATTCTCGCAACGTGGAAACAAAACATCAATGTTCTTTGGTTCCAAATTCTTGTCCACCAAGCTCTATCAACTCTCCTCCACTGAGGTAATTATATGTTACAACTTATCTCATACTAATGCACGTTAACAAATGACATGTTTGGATTCCACCATTGGATTTTGTAGGATCTTGAATTGGCCAAGACCTTAATAAGGCCAGGGTCACTTTTTCCTGAAGACTTGTCTCAGAGAAAAAACTTCTCCAAAGAGGGATATGGATCAGTTCCACGTGCTTTTATTGTTTGCACTGACGACCTTGGAATTCCGTTGAAATTTCAGCTTTGGATGATCGAAAATGCTGGGATTAATGATATGCTAGAGATCAATGGCGCAGATCATATGGCTATGCTTTCCAAGCCACAAGAACTATGCGATTCTCTCCAGCAGATAGCTCTTAAATACGCATAAATTCATGAAACAGGCTTTAGTTTTATTTATTGTGTTTGAATTTGACTTTTGTTTGAAAAATAAGAGTCTCTCCTTTGAAACCACAAGACATATAAATAAAGTGGTATTCTTGCATCCTGTGTGTTTTTTCCTCTACAAGCCTGCATGTTTGTAAATTTTAGAGATATTTGGAACGGGTTGTACTTTTGTGTAAATTCATATTGATGAATAAACGAATGGAAAAATGTTTGTCATTTTAAATAACATAAAGTTATGTCATTTTAAGAGAGACATAGACACAGAATAAATTTTTTATTTAAATTTTAAATTTAAAAAAAGCCACCCACTTCCTCTCTCCCATGATTTTCAATTTTTGTATCTATCTCTCTCCTAAAATGACATAACTTATGTCGTTTAAAATGACAAACACCAAACTCATAAATAAAACTTATCAAACAAATTAATGTTGTTCCATTATTATTAGATAAATTACCTATAATTAAGGGTATCTATGACACCATTCTCATAATTTTTTTAGTGTGAGAAACAGAAATTAATGGTTAGAAATAATGTTCGAATAAAACTGACTTATTTCTCTATTCTGAAGAATGAACCATTGTCTGGGAATACAAATTGGAAAAATAAAATAATAATTTTTTTCTTTATTCTCTCACACGCTATTTAATAATATAAATATCATAAAATGGGTTATTAGCATTTAATAAGCATTATTTAGTAAATACATTTTCTCTCTTTTGAGTATAGAAAAAAGTTGGGTTATCAAACTATTTTTTTTTTCCAAAAATTCTTCCTAAACATAAAATGAAAAAAAAAAAATTTCTAAGAATAGTACTAGTCATTGTCATGCACACACTAAGTATCTCAAATAAGCATATTTTTAGTAAAAAAACACAGAAAACATAATAGCTTAACTATTGAAGTATAAGATTTAAGTCATAAAGCATGCAATTCTTTTAGAAATTAAGTGAATTTCGCATGGAAGTATTTTAGAACATATAAGTTCTGGTGAATTATAGGTGTGTGAAAAAGAACTAAAAGAACTGAACTGAATTGTGAACCGATCGAACTAAACTGCACTTAAAAAAATGAACTTTTAAAAATTATTTCTTGAATTGAACTCGTTTATGAACCGAATTGGTTTTCAAAACCAATTTTAGAACTAAACTGGGTTTTTTTTCTTCGTATCTTTTTTTTTGTTTATCTTTTTTCTCTCTATTTTTCCTCTCTTATTCATTAAGTTCATTCTTTTATCTTTATTTTTATTACTTTATTTCTTTAACTTTTCTCTTTTCTTTTTCTCTCTCTTATTTTTTCTTTATTTTAATTTTCTTTTAATTGATTATTTCTTTTTTTATTTTTAGTATCAATTACATTTTTTATTTTTATTTTTTCTTCAATCTTTTCATACTTTTCATTTGGATTCAGAATCGGTTCAAAAATCAATTTTAGAGATCACAAAAAATCCACAAAAAGAACTACATTTTAAAAAAAAAAACTAGTTTTTAAAGCCCAATTGTTGAACTGAACTATTTTTTAAAAACTATTTTTTGAACTGAACTAATAAAGCCAATTCACGAACTTGAAATAATCTTTTTCTCTTCTTTTCATTTATTTTTCTTTTTCCCTCACTATTTCTTCTCTCTTATTTAGTTATTTACTATCTTTTTCTTTTTTTATTTATTTAGTGTTTTTTTTTCTCTTATGTATTTTTATATCTTATTTATTTTTTTTTTCATTTTTAATTATTTGTTATTTTTTTATTTTCAGTATCATTTATATTTTTTATATTTTTTTATCTTTTTTCCTTCAATCTTTTCATACTTTTTATTTGGATTCAAAATTGATTTTAAAAACCAAATCTGAATTGATTCAAAACTAGTTTTGAACTGAACTGGTTCATAACTAATTTAGAACTGAACTAAACTAATAAACTAATTCAATTATCAGAACTGTATAAATTTTTCCAATTCAATTTTGTTCGGGAAAGAAAATCAAACTGAACTAAATTGTACACACTCCTAACGGATTACTATGGAGTGTAAACATTATTCATCAAGCTCGAGGGGTGGATAATCAACCCCTCAAAGAATCTAGAGCATTTAAAAAAAAACATTAATTTTTTTAAGAGGAAAAAATAGTTTTTCTGTACCCAACTATATTTTAGTGAAATAAATTTTTTCTTAATAAAATTGTACTTATTATAGATAATTTTATTAATTATGTTTAATTGTCCTCTTATGCGATTTCTTAAAAGCATAATCTTGTAGATACATGAAGGATTAACTTTATCTTTCTATGTGCATTTGATAGTTACACTTACTTATTCGCTATGAGTCAAGTGAGAGTCTATTATGGTAATGTAATAATGAGAAATTAAATAATCACTTAACATAAGGAGTATGCATTTTGAATCACTTTCGTATACAATAATGATATAAAGTAATTGAACTTCTCTAACCTAACAATCACCTCCTAAGGAAATCAAACACATAAACTTCCTTGGTTCCAGCTTTTGAGAATTGAGAAATTACAATTTTAATCGATGGAGATTGAAAGCTCTGAAAACGTATGTGAGAATGGAGGGTGTGCGAAGGAGGAAGCTGGCCTACTGTTGCAAAATCGGCTAGTATACCGTTCGTTTCAAGTAATAAAAGTGAAAAGTAAAGATTGTTCCCTCGGGGATTAATGCACCAATAATTAATTTTAACTATTCCCTTTTTAATTGGAAAAGAAAATTGGTTTGATTGTGAAAGTGATTGGTTGTTGAAATTTTAAAAACAATAATATTAAAAAGCATGCAAGAAGATCAAGAATGTCAAGAAAATATGAGATTGATGAAAAATTGTAAAAAGACTGTATCCATGATGCACTTCACCTCTGATCCTCCCTTATATTCATATATATATATATTGTATTTTATAATTAATTAATTCGTTTGCTCAGACGATTCATTTTTTCCCTATAAAATAGTTGAGCCCTAATGTCTTAGTGATTTCAACCTTTTAACCCAATTAGAATCCTAGTGTCCTAGTAATCCCTCTTGAATTAAGCATTAAGAAAATGAATTAAAAGTCTGCAATCTATGTAAGCTTATGTCTAGGTCATGCACAAATTGTTATTCTACCCTTGCCCAGATTAAAACCTCAATATGTCTATTGTGAGCCATAACCATCAAAGCCCTATAATTTAGAGTGATCAGTTCTAAACAGGATATGAAAAAATTAACACACGCAGAATAAAACAAACATACTAATTAACTTATAAAAATAGTATAGGAAATAAAAAGGATTCACATTGGGTCTGTGATCCCAACTACAAAAAGAAACTAGCCAGACATAGCCGATTCTAACAAATTAAAGAAATAAAAAGTATTCATGAAAATAATAAAGAAAAAGAAGAAGAAGAAGATGAATGATCAATGGTCTTCGTTCTTCAACTCCGTCGGAATCCTGATCTCCAGCGTGAGCCTCCAAGAATTCTCTCCAGCCAAAGATTGTTTTTTTTTTGGGTCTGAGTCTCTATTTATAAACTTGTACCCTTGTGTAGAAATCTTGAACGAATCTTCATCGTATATCTTGATCCAATCTCCTTTGATACAGTCTGAATCAAGTTTTAAAATAATTACGTGCCTTCAATTTGGGCTTCTTTTTTTCCTGTTTTCCTACAAAATCATAAGAAAATCAATGACAAGAATCTGATTAGGCGCTGTAAGATTCTGTTTTCCTGTTTTCCTATTGTAAGATTTTGACCCTCTGGCGCTATCGTGGCGCTATAGGCGCGAATATTTCGAGGGATGCTGGTGCTGAAAGGAAAGATTAAAAGGAAAGATTCTTTTCCTCATAAACCCTAACAGATAGAACTCTCGAGAGAATATTAGAGATGAAAAACAATGAAAAACAAAAGAATATCACATATGCCATGTAGTCTTTTGTCACTAGAAAGATATTGGCTATTAAACCATCACAAGGCAAAAAATGTCAGCGTTTTAATTGTGTTGCTTATACACCAACAACCTGATAGGGTTTAGGGTTTAGGGTTTAGGATAAACATGATCAAATTTCATTATCAATCCAATACTAGCAATTAAAAGCCCAAAAACAATACACAACAAAATATAGAGCAGATATAATAGAGACCGTGTTTAGGAAATAACACCTACAAAACTCCACCTATTTTCTAACCATACAACAGAACAAGTACTACTACAAATTTGGTATGGGCATTTAACCCAGTAGGCCCATATGCAACGTATGATTTAAGGTGGTTTTATTTTTAGTATATTTAAGGCATCCCTAAATTTACTAACAATTACAGTTTTTGTAAAAATGTCAGCTGGATTTATATCAGTAGGAATTTTCTCTACATTTTCCTAACCATTAGCTATAATTTCTCTAATTAAATGCAACCTAATATATATATATATATATATATATATATATATATATATATATATATATATATATATTTGGTTCTTTAATGAAATACAGAATTTTTGGATAAATGAATAGCACTTTGAAAGTCACACATTACCTTTGGTGGGTTCTTACTTAAACCCAACTCAGTTACTATACAATTTAACCAGATGGCTTTCTTGACAACTTTAGTCAATGCCACGTACTCTGTTTCAGTTGTTGACAAGGCCACAATGTGTTGAAGATTTCACTCTCAGCTCACCACATTACCTCCTAAAGTAAACACAAAAGTAGTTAGGGATTTCCTTTTATCAAGATCAATAGCATAGTCAGAGTCACGAAATCCTATAATTTCAAAATCATTTGAATTTACTGCAGAATAATGTAAACAGTGGTCAAATAACCCGTTTAAGTATCTTAACAACCATTTTACATTAATCCAACGTTCTTTACAAGGTTTACTCATAAACCTACTAATTATACTAACCTCATATGCTATGTCGGGCCTTGAGCCTATCATAGCATACATCAGATAGCCAACAACATTTGAGTAAGGCACATTCAACATGTATTTTAATTCTTCTAAAGAAACATCACCAGAAACATATTTTAATATGAAATGTTCTCCTAAAGGTATGTTAACAGGTTTAGTCGAATGCATAAAGAAGGTTTTCAGAACCTTCTTTACATAATCAGACTGACAAAAAGTTAACAACTTCTCTTTTCTAGTCCTAGTTATCTCCATGCCAAGAATCATTTTGGTTGGACCAAGAAACTTTATTTCAAATTTTTTCTTTAACAGATTTTTCAATGCATTTATTTCATTCACATTCAT